CCGTAAGTGGTGTCGTTTGAAAGTGTAGAATCTATATTTTATGCACATATGCATCACTTTTGTTTTTATTCTACTGTATAAAAGTTATTTACACTTAAATACACTGTATTTTGGATACCCGAGCTGGGTATTTTACATTGGTTCATTTTCATATTTTTTATATGACACATGTACAAGTTATAGCTCAAATGAAAGCTCTTGCCGGTGCTCATACAGTTCTAGCATTCTTTTTACTGAATCATATTCACATAACAAACAGTTGTTGAATGAATTGTGGTGTTTCCATGGCGCAGAAATGTAAATAATACATTTATGATCAATAAGTAGCCCCAGAAAGCACAGACAGCTGTCTTCTCTTACCTTATGCTGTGCCCTTTAGGGCCATTCTCCTCTGTTTTTGAGGTGATGTGCATAAGTAATCCTTTTATATGTCTGATGTGGTCCAAACACAGTGAATTATGTTTGATCAAACAAAAGAATAGTGAAATATATATACAAGGATCGGTCTCTGTGGCTTGTACAGCACCTCTCATAAGTTGGAATGCAATAACTTTTGCATAGATTATGGTAGAGACTTTTTTCTTTTTTCCTATTATTACAGACATGTGGAGGAACCACCAAAATTAATTACAGCAGGCTAGACCACACAGAACCTAAAAGGTACACTTTCAAATTTGAGTTTATAAAAAATTTTTTACAAAAAGCACCTCTTTTTTTAGGTGTTTATTATAACACAGACAACATATAAAGTTATTTTAAACACTTTTAATAGTGTTTTATGAAAATTCAAAGGGTTTTCTTTAAAATTATATGAAATTTTTGCATTTACACCTCTGCATGTGGATTTGGGAAGCTTTTAAATTTGGGTAGGCAAAATCCAGGCGGAAATCCCCAAATAGCAGCAGGGTTTAAGTGGTTAAAGCCACGACTAGTTATTCAACTTCCACTTTTCTCCTATGACAGCAGTCCCAAAACCACTGACTGAGCCGTCTGCAAAATACAATGCTTTATTTATCCCTTTTGCACCACAGATAGAGATGCAGATAGTTTATCCAAACCCTCTGCAAAGTCTTGTTTCATTTCAGGGCCTTGAGAAGCTATTCACAGAGGCAGCATTTAGATGTAAATCTGGCTGATATAAAACCCCGCTATTGTGAGATAAGGGGGTCACAGATGTCATCGCAGCGTCTTTTATGTGATAGCTGTTCAGAGACGACGAGCCAGGATTGAACCCTGAGGTGACATAGCGGTGCACTAAACAGGACAGAATGCATCTGCGTCAACTTTCTTTCCCAGCATGGGCTCCGCACACACACAAACACGCTCACATGTGAAAAACACCCGCGATTCACATCACAATGCCAGTCATTTTTGCTCCTCATTGCACCCGATTTCGTCAGACCTGCATGTTTCATCCTGACCTGCAAAAGGGTTGACTGACTACGACAGCAATGCAGATGAGTGGGTGAGAAGTGCGAAGCTTCTTTTGCATACTCTGCTCTTAAGGGACCTGGAGAACGATTGCAAGTTTGTTTCAGAGCATATGGGTCTTCCAATAAAATTTGGGAGGGAGATTCGGGAGTCTTCTTTGAGATTGAATGTTTTCAGCTATTTCAGCTTTAGTTTAACGGTGAATGGTCTAGTTTATACACATCTAACCGTAGTTTACTTATGGACAATTAAATTTTTTCCTGTATTCATTCATTCATTTATCTTTGGCTTAGGTCCTTATATATCAGGGGTCGCCACTGCAGAATGAACCACCAACTATTCCAGCATATATTCTATGCATCCTTCCAGCCACAACCTAGAACTGGGAAACACCCAGACATACTTATTCACACACTCATACACTATGGCCAATTTAGTTCACCGAATTTACCTATATGTCTTTGGACTGGAGGGCAAACCCACGCAAACACAGGGAGAACATGCAAACTCCACACAGAAATGCCAACTGGCACAGTCAGGATTCAAATCGGCAACCTTCTTGGTGTGAGATGACGGTGCTAACCACTGAGCCACCATGATGCCCCATTTAAATTTTTTGTATTTAATTATTTATCATTATGGGTTTGTACATGCAAACAGCATACCCAAATTTAAAGTCCTCATTCCCTTTGGTAAAAACGTTTTTACACTATACCAAAAGTTTTAAACTCAAGACCTCAAGGGAAAACATGTTGTCATTTGAATCCATAAAATTGTTATTATTATTATTATTATTACATCCATTACATTTGTACTAATTTGCAGTAATTTTGTCAGGTTTGACCTATAAAGCAACTGGTCTATTGGTTTTCTGGTCTTCTGCAGGCTACGTTTAGTTAAATAACATAATAATAATGATATGGGTATATTAGTAGTGTGGATATCAGAGATTGTTTCACATAATATGTACTTGTGTATGTGGTAGTATCATTAAAACCAACTGGAGCAAAATACAATCAAACTGTGAGGTAAAATACTCAAAATGAATGAGAGGATTAGAATTAATACTTTTAAAGTACTATATGTCATTAAATTAAAAAAATAATAATTAAAAATTTAAATCAGGTCAAATTATAAGCCCCTTTAGGCTGTATTTTTTTCCGATGTCTACGGAACAAACCATCGTTATAATATAACTTTAGAATAACCCTATAGAATAACCCTAACCTGCCTAGTTAACCTAATTTACCTAGTTAAGCCTATAAATGTTACTTTAAGCTGTATAGAAGTGCCTTGGAAAATATCTAGTATAATCTTATTTACTGTTTTCATGGGAAAGATAAAATAATCAGTTATTAGAAATGAGTTATTAAAACTATTATTGCTAGAAATTTGTTTTAAAAAAATCTACCCTCCTTTAAACGGAAATTGGGGAAAAAAAATAAACAGGGGGCTAATAATAATTCTGACTTCAACTGTTTATATATTTTTTTCTTTAAGTGCGTGCAGGTTTTCCATTTGTACTACTATACTAAATTCACTGGTCTTTACCAATGTTGCTTCATTTTTTTACAGTTGTAAAGTTCTTATGCTACACGATGATGGATCTTTTTTACCCATATTTTAATTTCATTCATTTATTTTATTAAGAATTTTTTAAATCATCAGAATTTTTTTTAACGATTTATGGATTGACTAGATTCTTAAAACTGCTTGAGTAATAATTATTCATTTTAGAATGTAGATTTTTAATTTCAAAATTGCTCATCAACTTCTTTAAAATGAAGCTGTATAACTGAGCCAAACCTAAATCTTCTAGTTTTAAATGAAAGAATGTAATGTTAAAATTGCATTTCTTTTGCTTTAAGCATGTATTGAAGGGATAAATCAGCAAAAAAAATTAAATTCTGGAATTGGAAAGAAAACTATTTCAATTTACTATGTTTTTGCAAATGTAATGCAGCAGTGTTTTATTTATTTGAAATTAAATTTAAAAATAAAAGTTCTGTTATCAATTACCCACCATTTACTTGTTTCAAACCTGCCTGAATTTATTTCAGCTATTGAACACAAAAGAAGCTGGTTTAAAGAATGATGGTAACCTGTCACCATTGACTTTCATTGTATTCGTTTTTTTTACAATGAAAGTCAATGATTTCAGGGTTTCAGCTTTCTTCGAAATATCTTCTTTTGTGTATAACAGAGGACACAAACTCCATATCCATATCCAAAGATATAGAACCACTTCAGAGTGGGTTAATAGTACAAACATTTTAATTTTGGGGTAAACTATCCCTTTAACTTTAAGGTCACATATATTCTCATATGCAGCTTGAAATTGGCATCAATGAAAAATGATGATGACTCATTTAGCGTTTGTGGCCAAAATTCAGTCCAATAAAATAATAGATGTAATGTGAGAGACTAGAAATCGAAAATCTCAATAATAACAAAACACACCTGATTCAGACCACCAGCTCATTAGCAGAGACTCAAAGACTTGTAATGGGTGTCACAGACAAAGGAAACATACAAAACATGCAGTGCTGGTGGAGCTTCAGGAAAGTGGTTGAGAAACACTGTGCTAAATGACGATGGAACATTATTTTACCTATAATTTCATCTATTTATTTTGAGAAAAGTTTTGTGTATAACAGAGGAAAGAAACTATGGAGCCACATGAGTGTTACTTAATAGTGAGTACATTTTAATTTTGGTAATAAACTAATCGCTTAAACTTTTAAGACTGCCTTTATCTGCTTGATTTAAATTAAACGTTATGACGACTCATGTCCTAAATTCGGTCCAATAAAATAATAGTTATAAAGTGAGAGCATGACTAGAAATAGAAAATCACAGTAATAAATAGTTATGACATAAAGCCGTTTGCCTATTCCGGTCATATAAATGAATAAATATTCCGCCCCAACTTCTTGTTTTAATAGAAAATACATAAACCTTAAAAACCAGAAAGAAGCCCCTGCTCATAATGCAATTTCATACAACATTTAACGGTGAAAAGCACAGTTATACTCTGACATCTCTTCCTATTCCCTGAAATACAGAGCAGGTAGAGCTGAAAGAACAAAATGCTATTTGCTTTTTAAAGGTCAGCTTTCTAAATGTTCCATTTGCACGGCTTATGAAAAAGGTTTCGCTTGATTTGCATGAATATTTAACAAGCCGCCGTAAACAGCTTAACCCGAGTTTATCACGGGCTCCGTTTCTTACATGCATTCATTTACTTGTGCGCCTTAAAATCTCGGCCACGAAATCTCCATTAAAGACATCTTTATACAGTACGCCATGCTTTTAATGTATAAAGTGGCATATTTCATTATGCAAATCAGCAGAAAACGCTGCTAAAACGGATTAAACGGCACATTTCTGAGGTGTGCTTTGTGGTGTGTGGTTGGTTTCCGCACACATTCACCCGATGACAGCCCGACTCCACTTCAGGGGTAACACCCCTGGCCTAAAAAGGCAAAACATAATGCCGTTGCTGCCGGGGACTCTAAGAATAAACCACACAGTCCACTCACAGATAAGGTTACCTTGAAACCCGTCCTCCCTTCTCTCCCATGTTTCCTGACCCCCACAAATACACACATCATAGGCTGCTAACAAACATAAGGACAACCTAGGGCTTGATTTGCTCTTTTGACAGCCTAGCCGTGTGTTTTTTCCCTTCCCTGCTGGTACTCGGTCCCAGTTGGTGGTGTATTGTTTTTTCTCATATGTCACTTTAAGCAACAGGTGCCATTTTTTGCTGCTTTGTAGGAGCCCTGGCACAAGCGCGAGTTTTATTGGGACTCTAACAGGAAAGGCACACAGAGACACAGTGGTGTTTCGATTGGAAAACTATTCTGGACCCGGGGAATTGACTCTTGAGATTGTGTTTTCAGCCTGTTAGTGCATGAGAGAGATGGAAGGTACTGTGAACTTCATTTTCGGTTATGTTTTTATGTGTGTTATAAGATGGTTTAAGTCAAACATATGTTGTATGCTACATAAATGATGCTACTAATTGTATAAATAGTGAGATACCTTAAGTTAAACTGAAAAGATTCTCTCTTTCTCAAATTGTTCCAAACAAGTATAAGTTCCTTTCTTCAATGGTTTTTGATAACCTTATACATACAGTAGAAGATAATGGCTACCATGTTCATTGCTCAGCATTCCTCTTAAACATGCGAATATCGTCTTTTTTTCTTCAGCAGAAGATGACAGAACTACTCCTTTAAATTTTCCCCCGAGTAAAGTTAATTTAGACAGAAGCAATCTGCTTTGCAGGGGAATTTTGTGCTTGAAAGCTTCTAAAAATACATCATATCATATGGCTCTATGGGAGTCAGTAGTCCTTTGAAGCAGGCCTGTGATGTTAGCGCAGCTTTTTTTAAGGGTTTAGGAGTTTTTATAGTTATGAACTGCAGAAGTTCAATCAGCTAGAGAAAATGTAGTTAAAGGAACAGTTCATTCAGAAATGTGAATTACTGTCATTCACAGTGCAAATGATTTATGAGCTGTTTTACTTACCCTCATGTCATTTCTATAACCACTACATCTTTCTGTCTTCCGTGGAGCAAAATAGAAGAAATTGTGAAGATCCTAGTTACTTTTTGTGCAAAAACAATTAGACTGCAGCTTCAGATTGGATCAAATGACAGAATTCAAGATTATCAGTAGAAAACAACTTGCATCTCGGTAGCTCTTTTATATACATTTTGGCATTTGAAGATATAAAAAGCACCTATTTTACCTCTTTTTCAAGATTTAGGATGCATATTTTATGTCTCCAGAATGTGTCTGTAAAGTTTCAGCTCAAAACACTGATCAGATTATGTATTATACCTTTCAGAATGTTGGATTTTCTGCTCTGAACACAATGTAGCTGTTTTTGTTGCCCTTGCCTTTAATGCTAGTGCTCCCCGCCCACCGTGCCCACTGGCCTGTCAGAGTGTGCCTCAATCTCCGCCTCACCTGCGTCAGATAAACAGTGATGTGTCAGATAACACAGTGATAGACATGAAGAAAGCAGATCTCACCTAAGAACTTTTCCAATGATTATTTGATATATCTGCTGTGGAGTTAATTCAAGCCTTTCTGCAACGATGAGTCACAAACAATGTTGCTACAAATTTCATGCACACGAACACAGACAAACACACACACACACAGTGAGCAAGTTTACCTTGGACATTTTTTTCACTGCAAATGTGAAGGGATACACGTTAGTATCCACTGCTGTATGGATATCCGTTATGTTAAAGCACAAAATTAACCTGATTTAACGTCCACAAACCAGGACTGAAGCATCTGACATGCGGCTGTGGTGATAAAAACAGTAAAAGTGCTGTAATTCATTACAAACATGCATTGTTTAAAAAAGTTTTAAACTTGTAAAAATCACTCTTGATCACATTTGATGATGGCTGATGATCACAGAGAGCTGAACAGATCTTTTAATCCCAGTTGCTTTGCGCACATCCTGTCTTTTTGATATGATTATACACGTCACTACACAGACATGTTAATATGCGGCTGTCAATTAATTCAGTGGGTGAGGAAACAACACTCCTACATTATGTTGTGGTCTACCTCAAAATTGGAGGGATTTGGATCCATTTTTAACGTCAGAAAATAAAAATAAAATAGACTTATTGTGTTTATATCATGCCAATATGACTGTGGACCCACTATACCTACACACAGTTCTGTCCGAACAGCTTACAAAAGATGATTTTCATTCTAGGTGCCCTTTAAGATACCGCAAGGCCACTTTTAAGGCTCCTGAAAAGCCACAATCCTCATAGAAAGCTTAAGGTTGAACTGTATCTTACCATCTACAGTATATTTCCACTGACAGCTAATGTCATTTAACTCCTAGATTTAGAAGTGCAATATTCTCAAAGGATTTTCAAACACACTAAAATCCTGTCAGTTTCTGAAGGGAATAAAAAATGTCTGTAAAAAGCACAAAACCTTTTTAGTTATTTTCAATGACTTGCGCTAGACCTCCCCCTAAAAAAGCCAATTATTGACGTCAAGGGCCTGCATAAATGAGCCTCAGTCTTGCGTGAAATGGCTTAATGTTGCAAAGACTTAAAAGTAAATCTGAAATTCTGATTAAACGGTGAAAAGACTCTCAGATCAGCCCGAATAAATCATATTGAAAGTGATACTTCAAAATTTTTTTATTTTTGCTAACTTCATTGTCTCAACAGCTTGCTAACATAGGATTAGTTGCCACCAGTGTTGGGTAAGTTACTTTAAAAGTAAATAAAGTAATAGATCATAAAATTGCTGACTACTACTGGAAAATTGTAATCTAATTCCATTACTAAGTGAATTTTATTTATAAACTAATGTCAAGAGGATCACATGCTTATGATTGCTTCGAGCCAGTCGCGTAATATTCAATTTGTTCACCAATCAGACGATTTCTAAGCCACTATAAATACCCTAAGTTCCATATAACAGCCATCTTCGTTTTAAAGAATCCCACCTTCCACCCCTTCTCCTCCTCCTTTCCTAGATGGGTGGCACAGTGGCTTAGTGGTTAGCACTGTTGTCTCACAGCAAGAACGTCACTGGTTCTAGTCTTTACTAAGCTAGCCGACATTTCTGTGAGGAGTTTACACATTCTCTCCATGCTCACGTGGTTTTCCCCAGGGTTACCAGGTTTTCTCCCACCGTCAAAATACCGGCAACTTAAGCTAATTGACTAATCCAAATCGGCTTCATAGACATGCTCCTAGTTAGTAGTTAGCTCTTAAGAGCAATCACTATCTGTTCATTAGCTACTATAGCAGGGGAGTTCTCATGATCTACCTGAGCCCAAACTCCCCTATCGCCTGCAAATGGGAGGGGGCCCCAGGCTCGAGGATCTTATGAGCTTAGGGCTCTCTCCCGGGACAGCATGCCAAACAAGCTTTATAATCAATCATCAGCTAACTGTGAACTCTTGAATTACTTAATGTAAAAAGCAATCAGATTACTAATTACTTTACTTTGAAGTTACTTTTAAAACATATGAAATATACCTATAAAATACTAAATAAACTGCAGCTCTTTCAGTCATTTAATATTCACTTTGAATCTTTATATGGGTTGATGAGCTTGATATATTCACTTAAAGACTTAAAGAGTTCGCCCAAAACTAAAAGATCTCTCATCGTTCACTTGTTCCAAACCTGTTTATCTTTTTTTAAACACAAAAGAAGAAAGATATTTAGAAGAAAACTGGATACCTGTTATCATTAGCTATATTTTCATCCAAAAATGCAAATTAGCTTTATGCGCAAAACTGGAATATTGCATAAAAGATGTGTGAATAAAGCAGCGTTTCCATCCATCAAGTAAAAGTAAACAAAATATTATAAAAAAATATAAAATATAAATTATATTTTATATACAAAATATAAAAAAAAATTCCTGATTATCTGGTGCCAAATATCAACAGTATAAATGGAATTTGCTTAAGTAAGAGAAGCTGCATGAATCTTGTCTTTATTTAATAAATGTTCTAAAAGACAATCCCGACACGCAGTGAATGTGCGGTGGCATTTGAAGGCGTGAGATACGGAGCACAGACGCTTTTGATTCTGGAGGTCATTAATAACATAATAATACTAATACTGAGATGGTTAAGGCATTTTAGAATGACCAAAACAACATTTCAGATGTTTTACAATGTGATCAGCCAGCTGGTTTGTCCATTCACACATATTTTTTATCATCACATGATCTCTTATATAAAATGACATGACCTTTTTAATGCGCATACTGGAATTTAGTCAGTAAAAGTATTTCCATTGTAATTTATGCTCATCTTTTCTTATAGAATAAAAAGTTTATCCTACTCAGATATGCACATATGTTTTTATGCGCATTTTCAAAATTTATTAGCATCTTGCCGTTTCCATCAACTGTTTTTATGAGCATATACAAAATATGAATTAAAAAAGGTGAATTGAAACGTAGCTAGTGACATCCATAGTATGAAAAAGAACTGCAGTGTTAGGGTGAGTTTGGGTCAGTTCTTGTTGTGTGACTTGCGGTTTTCAACTGGTGCACCTGAAAAATGCGAGTGCGCAATTTGTGCTCCGAATACATGTGCATAAGCCAAGCACCTACATTGGACATAACGAACTTGAGCGAGCAAAAGATACGATATGTGAACGGCTTCATCAGCAGCTAAGCTTCTCTTTACATTTACAAGATGCCTTCACTTCCGATCCTGCACAAAAAATCTATTTAACCTGTTTAGGCTGAGTTGGGACGCCTTGTTTTTGGTTGCCGGTGTTCTCCTTGGTGATGAGTTTTGTCCTAGAAGTGCTTGAACAAGTTGCTGGTCGAGTTAAAAGCAGTCAAAAGTTCTTTAGAGACTGGACATAGACAGCAATATTTTAGTTTTTACGCTCAATGAAATCAACGTTTTTTCACCTGTTGAAGCAGCCTCTCTCGTCAGCAACCATTTCAGCTCTCATTCTCCAGCAATTTAAAAGCGCTTGCTCATTAATTGATGTTGCAGTGGAACACATTATTTAAATGAAGCATTTTTTTTCTTCTAAAAACTATATTTGTAACATAAGAAATGCATATACACTGACTTTGCTAACTCTGATCAAATTACACAAATTTAAAATGTTTGTTACATTACTGTGTTCCTCTAAAATGTAATTAGAATACAGTAACATGTTACTGTGAAACCCGTTACACCCAACAGCAATATGAGGAGCACAATATTCATTCATTCATTTTCTTGTCAGCTTAGTCCCTTTATTAATACGGGGTCGCCACAGCGGAATGAACCGCCAACTTATCCAGCAAGTTTTTACACAGCGGATGCCCTTCCAGCCAAGATGGAAACATCCACACACACATTCACACACACTCATACACTACGGACAATTTAGCCTACCCAATTCACCTGTACCACATGTCTTTGGACTGTGGGGGAAACCGGAGCACCCGGAGGAAACCCACGCGAAGGCAGGGAGAACATGCAAACTCCACACAGAAACACCAACTGAGTCGAGGTTCGAACCAGCGACCTTCTTGCTGTGAGGCGGCAGCACTACCTACTGCGCCACTGCGCCCTGGAGCACAATGTCTTATATTAAAATAAGAAGAGTCAATTCCTGGACCAGCACCATCCACCTATTCGATTTACAGCACAGCAAGGGCTGAAGTGGCATTTGCGCATAATGTTGCCATGGAAAGATTTCCCCCGAGCCTTTTGTGGACCTTATCAGCAATCTTACATTTCTGTACAATCAGATACTAAAGCTTGTAGACAATCTGCAGGGGCAAAACCCTGATAACACAGAGAAAGACGCACCAAAACCAAACCAGATGCAACTAAGTATATGGCGTCTGCAGAAAGCTTCTTGAGTCAGCATTTGGAGGGGACGTCTAATCCTAAGTTTGACAACAGGGACCAAAGTGAAGATCTGCGACAGGTGGTCTTAGCTGACTCCTTTGGTGCGTGACGTCTGTATCCGACCCCCACTTACACACACGTCATTATACATACAAGCCAAGAGTATAAAATACTGTTCTCTGAGCAACAGGGCCAACATAAACAAGACCCAGTGACCTGGTCTTGACTCAGACTCACAATGGATCATCCACAAATACACTACTGTAAACGCAATCACAACGGACTGAGCAAGAATCAATCATTTGCCGTGACTTATATCAACAATATTGGCGAAGATCAATAACGGGGGCTCATAGACATGGCAGAGAGTATAAAGGTTACATGTGGACTCTCTGAGCAGCAATTCAAACTGAGTTGCCGCAAGAATTTATATCCATTTAGAAAAGAGGCTTTTAAAGGGGCTCTGACCAGCAGATGACACAGAGCCAACATTCCTCGTGCGGCCTTGGAGATGTTTTAATGATGAAACATTGCCACTGCAGATGTGCACCCTATATACAGACAACAAGTTCAATTCAATCTTTCTCCCAGGCAATGCATTGATAAAGATTGAAAAAAGCAAACATTCATCTCCTGTCCACCGGGTTTTGTCTTCATCGCTTTTTGTCTACACTGAGAGCGAACGATGTGACAAAACTAGACAACTTCCAATGTAATGTGCACAGTGTCTATTACTGGCCACGATTACATGGCAGTCAAAACATTTGTTAGTAATTGGACTGAAAAGCCTCCCTGTAAGCACATCTATGGATTATTTTCACATCCTAAAAAAATAGGTGTAGCTAAAAAAATATAATGTCATATAATTTGACCCTTATGCACTACCCTTTTGTTATGTTAGGGATGAAAACATCCACTAAATTAAACTGCTGTAAAAATGCTTTAGATAAATATTATCTTCAAATTTAGAAAAAACTTTATTGTCCACACGTGTGGAAATTCATTTTTGGCCTCCCCAACATCACAAATACAAAACACAAACACAAACACAAAGCTTCCTACACCACAGATTACCAACACACAAATCTAGACATGCAGTCTACTTCATGGTCATTTATTCAATATGATAATAGCAGACGGTTTAAAAGATTTCTTAAAACTATTTGTTTTTGCTGTGGGTACTCTGTATCGTCTACCAGAAGGAAGCTTTTCAAATTCATAATAAAGAGGATGAGTTGAGTCCTGAACTATCTGTGAGGCTGTCCGTCTGGTTTGGTTTATAAACAGTTCCACAAGCTGCTTCTGGGGGTCCATTATGATCTTATCAACCGTGTTAACGATCTTTGCAAGTTAATACTTGTTTCTAGCTCCAAGATTTCCATACCAGCAAGAAATATTATAGGAGATAACACTTTCAACCAGACTGGTATAAACCTCCATCAGAATAACCTTACTAACATTAAAACTTTTTAATTTCCCTAAAAGAAAATATCTGTGTTGCCTTTTTATAGATATAGTCTGGGTGTTCACCATAATATAAGCCACTAATACAATCTAATCTTTTAGCATCTAATACAATCTCCACGTTAACGCTCAGTAGTAACTGGATGACATACAGGCTGCCCTTCTCTACTAATAATTAGTTCCTTAGTTTTCAAAGCATTTAGTGACAAAGCACTCTCCTTACACCATGTCACCAGATGTTCCATGTTCTCAAAGTAGGTCCTCTTTAGCTCTTCTTTTTCCTTTGACCATAAGTCCAACCACAGCCATGTCATTTCTTTGCAGAAACCTGCATAATCCGTCTTTCAGATGAGATGTTAAACCGAGGTCCCGACTCTCTTTGGTCTTTAAAAATCCCAGGATGTCCTTCGAAAAGAGTAGGGGTTTAACCCCGGCTTCCTGGCCAAATCTGCCCACTGGCCTCTGTCCATCATGGCCTCCTAACCATCCCCATATTCAATTGGCTTCATCACTGTCTCATCTCCACCAATCAGCTGGTGTGTGGTGTGCGGTCTGGCACAAAATGGTTGCCGTCGCGTCATCCAGGGTGATGCTGCACACTGGTGGTGGATGAGGAGATCCCCCTACCCCCACCCCCCCATTGTGTAAAGCGCTTTGAGTGCCCAGAAAAGCGCTATATAAAATGTGAGGAATTTATATGATTATTATTATTAATAAAGCTCTATGCTGATCAAAAAAATTACAGAATTTTAACTCTTTAATTGTCAAATACACAAATGATGTCACTGATTTGAAGAAGAAACACACGCAAAATGATGTATTTTCAATATAAAAAGCAGTTGTGGACTGGATTTATTTTTTCAACCTTTTATTACAGTCTTAAACGATTAGTAACAACACTGGCATAAATGCATTGTTAGATTTTGATTTTTTTCTCACTAATTTACTGTTGGTGGCTGTTTTGCCCCATTGACTTCTATTATAACCACATTTGATGGTGCATAAATACACAGTCTTTGTTTTTGTTTACTCCATGTAGTTCTGAGAGCTGAGATGCATATTTTGATTTTGTCAGACACACCAAGGTAATTGCATAAATGTCACTCTCAAAGCCACACATAAACATACTTTAATTTGCTGTTATACTCAATATAAACTCCAGAATCTAAGCTTTTTTGCAGCTATCTAAAGAGTTGATGGTGCCAACTGATGACCAACAGTAAAATTACAATGTTTACTTCTTCCCAATAGGAAAAACCACCAACAATCAAAAATGCACAATTATATGCCGTCATGGTTTTGTAATAAAAAGTGTGGTTATAAAGGTCAATGGGGTAAAAACAGACACCAACAAATTAGGGAGAAAAAAAACAAAAAACAAAAATAATTAAAAACAATACATCAAAGGCAATGTTGTTTCACATCTCCAAGACTTTGATAAAAGTTTTTTTTTTAAAGTCCAGTCAACAATTACTTTTAGAATAAAAATGTCATTTTTTGGTGTGTGTTTTTCACCAAATTAGTGACATCATTTGTGAATTTGGCAATTAAAGAGTTAAAAACCTATCTCGGAGGTCTACAGACAATTCCTTTGTCTTTATGCTTGGACGTGCACTGTCAACCCTGGGACATTATATTGACAGGGTATGCCTTTTCAAATCATGTCCAATCAGCTGAAGTTACTTCATGTAAATGGGGTAAAAAAAACATGTACATTTTTAAGGTTTTTATTTTTAATAAATTTGCAACAATTTCAAAAAATTTTTTCTTACAATGTCATTATGGGATAATGAGTGTAGAATTTTAAGGAAATAAATGAATTTAATCCATTTTGGAATACGACTGTGACATTAAAAATGTAGTAAAAGTGAAGCGCTATGAATACTTTCCGGATGCACTGTATGCATCATTGGATATAACATTCGCTCATCTCAGATGTATAATTCAGGCTTAACTCTATGTTCACCAAAGCAAAGGTGTAAAACAACAAAGATGTCAACCCAATCAGCCACTTCAACAAAAACAGGAAAGATAGTTAATATACATGGTATGGATTCTTATAGTTGCAACTTTTTGTACTACAAACTACTCTGCTTTCATTATTTTTCTTCGGTTTGCATTTCTGAAGCTCTGTTTATCTCTACAGCACGGTCCACCACCACGACTACCATAGTAGAGGCCAAAAATGACGTGAGCTCACATTCAGTACGTTCGTCCAAGCGCACCATGACTGATGACCTCTACTCCACGTTCAGCTCCCCCATGGCCTGGATCCTCGTGCTGGCTCTTATCATAACCTGGTCAGCCGTGGCCATCATTATGTTTGACCTGCTCGACAGCAAGGGTCTTGAAGGTAGGTCCAGCTCTCTTATCATTGCCTAATTCACTTCGATGGGGAGTAATTTCGGAACACTCGTCCTGAAGAGATTGTAGGTTGGGCGAAGCAATCGATTATTATAAAGGCTCCCCTATTGGGGGGTTTTAAAGCAAAACATTGGCTTTAAGGTAAAACAGGACACAGATGAGGAGTAATTGGATGCTTGAATGTGTCTTCACGATGTGATAAAGCTCCGAGTGTGTTTTCTTGTTGGAAGTTTATCAGCTGTGCCACAGGACAAACTTGTGAGGCTTCTAAGAGCGGGAGGGAGGGATATTGACTTGTTCCTGATAGCATTGACAGTGACAAGGATAGATAGGGTGTCCCGTTGGCCGGGTCGCTATCAGTCACCTATCATGTGGAGTGCTGAAAAAGTCCTTGTAGGACAACAGTTTACCTTGTGCTACCACCTGATGAAACATAGTTGATGCAATTTGAAGGCAACCAAACTGTTGTTTATTGTGCAGAATTGCTTGAAGTTCTCTGCGTGATTCTGTAGCTTAATAATGGCAATTTTAAACTGTTTAAAAAATTGTCATTGTTTAGACGGATTTATCACAGCCATTAAGATCATATCACATCTCATTCACAAATCATTCCATCAAAAACTTTAAAACGCAAACACATTAACCCATTTTGAAGGTATTTCACAGAGAAAGCAATAGACTTTCATATCATGTAGTTCACTACATGATTGCACCCATTAAGAGTCACAATTACATTATTTCTAATAAATTTCCCTCCTTTTTCCACCCTGTCCATCACCATGTGTCATCCTGTTGCCATCCAATAAAAAGCCCATACATTATACTGTGACGACCCCTGTTTACCACCTGGTAAAGACTCTCTGCCTGCAGTTCAGTGCTAATGCCTGTTTTCATGTGTGTTTGTGTGGTGTGGTTGTGTGGTTTTCCAGCATGCAAACAGGGAGCAACTGTCACTCTCATCGGCAACATTCATACGGACATGCAAATTTACTGAACCATCTAATCTGTCTGTCATGAACACGACATCACTTCCACTAGACTGTCATGCACTCCATTCAGTGTGACAGCAAACCTTTGACTTCATCGTAATGGTAAAGGGAGGTGTGAGACTGAGTTCTCTGTGGAAGCAGATGCACTTGCTTTGCAGTAATAAAAAAGGCGATTGCTTCAGATTTTAGGCATCTGATCAGATTTTACTCCCATTTCAATGACCTCCGCAAAACGCAAAATCCACCTTGGAATGCTTATGTTATGTATGACAAAGCATAATTGTATTTTAGTTTCTCGATACATAACAAGCAAAGATAGCATTTTATTCTTGATATCTATTAACAGGGATGAGCAAAAATATATTGAAATGTATTTTTAAATAAAATACCAAATACCTCAATTTTACGTGCATCAAAATAAGCTACAAAATACAGCAGCCAGAAATGTATCAAAATAAAATACTGCATTTTGTTTTTTTGAAAATACTACAAAGTACTTTTACAAGGGAGCATGACATTTCTTCGCAAACCATCCATCAACAGGTCTCTTCGATCAATCCTGATCAAATAAACGAAATAAAGCAAAACAAATAAAATTAAATTAAACAAAAACCTTAATAAAATATTACTAAAAAATAAATGTAATAAAATAAATTAAATCAAATAAAGCTAAACAAATTAAATATAATTAATAAATGAAATAAAGCAAAACAAATCAAATTAAATTAAACAAAAAATTAAATTAAATAATACTAAAAATAAATTTAATAAAATAAATCTAATGAAATAAAGCAAAACAAATCAAATAAAATCAAACAAAACAATTAATAAAATAAAATAAAATTAATTTAATAAAATAAAATAAATGAAATAAAGCAAAACAAATCAAATACAATCAAATAAAGAAAAAAAATACTTAAAAATAGAATAAAATAAAATGAATGTAATAAAAAAATAAATGAAATGAAGTAAAACCAATCAAATAAAACTAAAAATAAATAAAGGAATAAAAAAATAAATAAAATTAATTTAATAAAATATCAAAACAAATTAAATTAAATAAAAAAAACTAATCAAATAAAACTAAATAAAACAAAAAGTTACAAAATAATAATAATAAAAATTTAATAGGATAAATGAAATAAAAGCAAAACCATTTAAATCAAATAAAACAAACAAATAATAATGATAATAATAAATAAAATAAAATAAAATAAAATAAAAATTAATTTAACAAAATAAAATAAATGAAATAAAGTAAAAACAAAATCAAATAAAACAAAAATAATTAAAAATAATTACAATTGAAAATAAAATTATAATAATATCTGCACCTCATTCACCTACTGTACATGTTTCAAAAAAAAATAAATAAATTGTGTTTCTTTTTGATTTTAGTATAGATTTTGTATAAATTTTATACAGAAAGTCCTGTCCTAAAGACGATCCCTTTATTCACAGTAAAAATCATTCCTTTAGAGCGGCAGCGGTACATGGGCGAGGGTAATGGCCATATTAAACTCTCACCCACTGTATATTGAGCTGGAAGATAGTACTATAAATTTCTCTAGCTCTATCTTTTGTGAAACTTGCCATCATCTCATAACAGTCTTATATTTTAAAATGGTAATACATAAAAAGGGTATTTGAAGTTTTTGTTCACATTATTTGCTAAATTAATCTAGTTGATTAAAAAGTAAAAATGAAAAGTCACGATTGCTGAAATCTACTAAAATCTTCCATAAATCATGTTTTGTTTTGTTTTTTGTGGGCCACATTTTTATGATGTCATCATTTAGACTTCTTACAAAGTATTTTACAGTATTTTAAAAATACAAAAATACAAGACACTTATTTATTTTGGTACAAAATGTTCAGCCATTTTCATAAACCCTATAAAATACAACTTACTGTTTTGTATTTAAAATATGTATTTGAAATACCTGTATCATAAATACTGCCCATTCCTGACTATTAATAATACTGAAAATCGTTTCAAACTAATTTACTTTAAAGAAAGGCTGTTGTTTCACCTGAATGCATATTCCTTTGCAAACAAAAAAAGTTTAATCGTCTCAAAATAAAATATATTCCCTTTGCACAAATTAAACTGTACTGTACATAATTATCATCACAAAACAATTACAAAGAAAAATCTCTTGTATACATTGAGCTACACACTAAAATGCAACAAGAGACAAATACAACCTTCTCAGCAGTTATATTAAAGTAGAAATATCTGCATTTCAAATGTGATTTGGATAAACCTCATATCACAGCATGGCTTGATATGAGTGGCATAATGCAGTATGTCATCATCTAAATGCTCGCGGCACTGATTTCATCATCCTTACTAGGATGAAATAAAGGCTATGAACAGCATTTTAAACATCGAAGTGCTTCAGAAAAGAAACATAGATGCTGCAAACATATTAACAACAATCTCATATTCCCAGAGCTCAACTTTTTAATTCAAAACGGTATATCATCTGAGGAAACTTTAAAGCATGATTTTATTTGAGCCAGCATGACATTAATAATCTTCGTGCCAATTGCTCCCTTCCACCCTATGATTTCCAACATCCATGTGTTGACGTCTACTTTGCGATACTGCTTTCAGTGAGCCTCAAATTATTCACTTCAATCAATTCATTTTATTCTAACATCGATAACTACGCTTTGAAAGCATTGTAGCGTGACTTCGTTCATTAACGGTGTGGTATTGAACGGCAACTCCTCCTTGCCATGCAGAATGATTTGATTCTTTTTTTTCCAATTAATAATGCACTGAGCAAAAACAGTGATATTTTACCTGTAGAATATTAATCCAGTATTCTATGTTGCAGATTTCTCGTGTTCTTTTCAGGAGAAGGGATATAAACTTTAATTTCCCTCAATGCACAGCTAAGTCTTCACGATGTGGAATCATGGGGAGGAAGTTGACGCTTTGGTCCATCTTAACACAGCCTTGCATTTACAGAGTCTTTACCGTTTGTCTTCAGGTGGTCTATAAAATGGTGGTTTTCAACTGGTTTTGCTTCAAATCCCAGATTTGACAGTGGACGCCAAGCGGAGATCCAAGCCAGTCTACAAAAGAAAACAACAAAACACAAATAGCTCATTCATATTTATTTTACAGTGTGTAGTTTAATGGGTTTTTTTTTAAATGAAGAGACATAGTTTCTGTCATAAAGGCCTGCATTAAAATAATACTATAGTTATTTATAGTAAATACTATAATGTTTTTAAATTATACTACAGAAAGGTACTTGAAGTAACACTTTAACTGCCTGCTCAACCAAATAGTTGACCATATTTTGACTGACTATATCTTATTGAAAGGAGAACCTAATTTACTAAACCTAATTGAGGCATCTCTACCATTTGGTTTAAGTATGTTATACCAAAAAAAAATCCACTAGTTGTCACTAACTCAATCAACAGCACTCATCACAACATTGCTTTTACCATTGAAATCAAAAACAAGAATATCTGACATGTGAACTGTTTTTGATGAAAATTTCCAAGGTAGGCATATTTTTTTTTTACATATTACAAACAAGACCTAACTTTACAACTTGGTGCCATGGAAAATATTTAGTATATTTGTAACAATTTTTTAAAAACATGCTTGACCGAATAGTTGATTTGTCACTTTATGGTTTGCATACAAAAGCAAAACTAATGTTTTCATATTCTGCATTACTGGAGTCCGAATGGACTGTTTGCTGAGAAATATTAACTTTTGAGGATTCACAGAGTATATATCACACAGCTTGTTATTTATTCATGAATATACTGAGATAATTTCTTAAGTATATATATTTTTAGACCCTTTTAGGACATTTAGGAGTAAAGAAATGCAGTCCAAAAATTATCTATTGTTTTTTTTTTTCTTGGTGTGGCAGTTAAAGGGCTAATCTGTCGTCTTTATTCTATAGTTGCTATGGCAACACAACAACTATAGTAATGTAAACCACAATATATGTAGTCTTCTACA